TATATAAATAGAGAGAGAAAGAGCAGGGGGAAAACTAATGTGGACGTTAGTTGTATAGACCGCATAGAGTTCAACATGACTCGTGGATAATGAGGAACCAAATGTGACTAATCCTAAAATGCTAATATTCTCTGAATATACGCCGTGGGTATAAATTGCATTGAACCTCATGGACACTGCCAATCAACGAACCCGTTAAGGAACTCAAAGAGCAATCGCAAAGCAACAGCACAAAGCGTAGAATATATGCCCAATTTGGCCGAATGCAATGCTCAATGTACAGGGGTTAATAAGACAGTTTGTCATGTAAACTCAAGGAAGCTATTGTTTCGAGTATGCCAAATCAGTGAAGTAAAGAAAACAACAAAGCTCGGCACGAAAGCAACTCACTTGTTCCGACTGTTTTTTTAAAGGATTGGAAGATTCCGATTTGTTGGTCGACTCTGCCGGCGAATTACCGCATTTTGGTTGTGGACTTTGGGAATCTTGTTTACTACAGGGCGCATCAGGTTCCTTGGTCGAATCTGGTCCGTCTGTCGATGAATTATCGTCATCACCTGACTGGTGTTGGTGGTGGCGGTGCTTGGATGGAAATCGCTGGTCTGATTCGCGGATCGGACTCGTTGCCCGAGAAGAGCGTGCTGAAGCTGAACCGGATCTGGATGACGATGGGGATGAAGATGAGGATGGCGAACGCGGTTCTTCATTCTCGCCACCCTCCGTGTCCACCGTCGTGCCAAGCTCCAGATCCATTCCAGAACTGGTTCGTGATCCCATGCCTGACTTTGAAGCGCCACGATTCGAGAGGGCGTCTGGAACGAGAAAACGGATATGATATCATAGGACAGAGAATAATAGATGCGTGGTGAATACGTTAAGATCAATTCAAAGAAATAATAGGCGAAGAGAAAACGTTTAACAAAATATACTACTATGGCATAAACTCCTTTGAACTTCAGGTTTCATCCCTATCGAACAACCTTACTAATCCATAGGTGTGTGAACATAGAACCCTATCTCCAGAAAGGAGCACTGTGTTCCCATGGTCTTCAACTCGCTTAACGATTATGTTCCTGGAACCTGAAAACACAGGCAAGAAGCTTTCACTCTGAAATTAAATATTTGCTTACACAACCAGTGATTCAATAAGAGGATATGGTAGCAATGAGTTGTGTCTGACGGTAAAAGGGGGAAATTCGCGAGGTAATTATTCACTCGAAGGAGCACCGATTTATGTTGAAACGACTACGTATGGTTTAGAATTTATTCTAAAAGGGAACATTTCCAAAGACGCTTCCCATAAGGAAATATTCGTAAAAAAGGAACAACGAATTTAGGAGCTGAATTATTCGCTGCGGCAAAAAGAAAATCAAAAGAACTGTCGCCAGTACTTACAACCACGTCCGAGTTGCAACGATAGATATCGTTGTGACAGACCGTTGAGTGTGGCCAAGGGAGAATGACGAAGAGCCGGTTCTTCCAACAGCATCTGTTCCATTTGTTCATCGTCCACTTTAGCAAAGCCCAAGAATGGGGTGCTACTGATTGATGCGTTTGTAGAAGCCACATGACTCCCGCGACCCCTACCCCGACCACGGCCACGACCACGACCTTGACCGCGTCCGCGTTCGCTACCCAAAGAGAGAATTGGATAGGATGCCAACTCATCCAGTAGACTCGTATTAGCCAGACGTGCAGCTGCAGCCGCGGCAGCAGCAGCATTGGATGATTTGCGTCCGGGTTTAGACTTATCGTTCTCACCGTTCGTCGAAGTGGATGCAAGTATTGCCTCACGTTCGGCCTCCATGCGCTGTACAATCCCAAACCAACGGCGACAGACTGATCGTGATAAAGATGGGTCCAACCAGTTAGGAAGCCGACCGACGGGACCGGGGACAGGCAGTCCCCATTCGGCAACAAGGCGGTTGTGTTGGTCTAATTCAGACTCTGGTTTGCCCGGGCCATCCCCTGCTTGACTGGATCCACCGCGTTTTGTACGTCTTGAGAACGTTCGACGACGCTTACCCCGAGCCGGTCGTCTTCCCCGAGCAGGTCGGGAGAATAAAGCTGATTCTGTAACTTCGGACATAGTCTCCTCACTGCAGTTGACAGACCCAGGTGAGGCATAGTCGGAGGGCTCTGGAGCCACAGGCTTATCTGCAGAGGTACGGGCTGAGATTGTAGCTGTTCCTGTGGCTTCGACCTCTGATTTGAGGTTTGTCGTTTCCGGCGAGGGTTTGTCGTTTGGAACTGAATTAGGATTTTCTTCGTGAATATCGACCGGATCAGAACGCACTCGGTTTAGTCGATACACACGAAATCGTGTCGCGTGTTCTGTATCCAGCATACCGGGGAAATGCACATAGACAACATTTTCAAACAAATCCATTCCCAGAGTGACTGGTCGTGCTGCTTCCCAATCGGCTGCCTTGTCCAAAGAATGTCTCAAATTGTCAAATACACGCTGGCAGGATAGAAAAACAGAAAACAGGATAAGGAGAGAAAAGTAATTGACCGAGAAGAATATAATGCAGTTGCTATTTGAGAGTGGTGACGATGGACACTAAAGCAGAAATTTGTGTGATGGGTAAGCAACTCAAAGATGACATAAAGTTGAAGTGATCAGACAAAACATTTAAATCCAAGCGAGCGTTTGCGAAAGACTGTATGGTGTAACTGCACCTACACTTGATTCTTTCGTTATAACTGGATGAACTCCTATTTCAAATCGCCCGTGATGAACAGCGTGAATTGGTACCTGGATCGCTTCTTACCCGCAACCACTAATTCGAATGAATGATGCGGTGGTACACAGGAATTACTAAGTACGTAACTCCCGTTCGAAGGCCGTATGAGCCGACCGACGAGATCGCGGACCATGACTGTAATTAATCGATGAAAACTGAAGCGTATTTGCGAATGCCTTCTCCATCCAGTCACGCGAATGAGAATCAAACTGGACATAACCTCCGTGTCTGAGACCCTGTGGTTGGGGTTCCCCGATTGGTCTGCACAACAACCTCATTATGGTCGGGGATGGGTGTCTACGGCTGCGGCTGGTCACCCTTCCCTTGCACCTCGTGTTGGGGACGAGATCACATCACGAATAGCGAAAGCTAGAGCAGCTTTCGCCAACCTGCGACGCCTGTGGCGCCGCC